GGAGGGGTCGGGCCGAGCTTCCGACCCGACCTGTGTGCAGGTAAGGAGACAGAGCTATTTCCCCGGGACGCAAGGAGAGGACGCCTTCCCCACGGGACATCCCGACGAACCCAGACGTGATCCGGTCCACGCGCCCGGTCACCCCAGCAATCCCGAGAGACCTCGAGCAAAGATCCCCGCCATTCGGCCCCGAAACAAGCCACGTCGGCCCCGAGGCCACGGCACAAAGTTGTTTACACTAACACCTCCTTTCAATTTGTTGTCACGAATCCATGACTCCATCATAACTGAAATTATCATGGGCATGATAATTGGCATCTCCAGAAACAATGGGAATGAATTTGTGAAAAAAATAGCTTCGTTAGTGTGCTTAACTTTACTTCCAATTAGGGAATGAATTGCTAGAACTTACTACAATCAAAGGATGCCTTCGTTAAGCTATCCACTCGGCATGAAATGAGGCTTTAGCATTCTCTAAGCTTTCCTTTTTGCAGATTAAGATGGAAAGTGTTGAACCTAATTTTAAAGGTGTAGTACGAAGATATATGCAGTGTTCTCTATAGTTTTTCTCTGAAAACACAAGTTGGCCTTTCTTTATTCTTTTAGTGGATCTGTGTTTTAGTTAAAGCATCAGTGCTGAAAAATAAGAAAGAGATATATGGACACATTAGCGAAAAAATTATACTTTGATTGTTTGGCACAACCCATAAATGCTATGCACAATGGCCTTCTTCCTTTGCTGAAAAGCAAGTTCACTAAGTGGTTATCTTATTCAGGCTGTGATTTTGATTTGAGCTTCGTTGATCGCATGCAGAACTTGTCATTCATGCTCGGAAGAAACAGCAGCATGATCTAACCTGAAGCAATGCCCATGTTTAATCAGAGTCATTGAATAGTATATTTTTGGTTGTGTACTTGCGGCTCTACGCAATTCTGCTTGTGATCGGATTGGTCATATGCTCATGCAGCATGGCGAAATCACAGATAAAGCCCAAGCACTCACAAACCATGCTTCAAAATGGCACGTTTGTGCAACCATCGAGTCGTTTGCTATAGATATCTCCAAATCCGATTCTGAATTCCCTGTGCTTAACGGCTAGTGTGACTCGGATGAGGAACTGGAATGCATGAAGATCGTACATCATCATGGTCACACCATTTTCTTCCAAAAGAGACAAGCATTCGGTAAATCTCTGAAATCATTTGGTATTAAGCACTCCTTCGTTACCTGACTGTTTGGGCTTACCTAGCAAACTCTGGTTTAACTCTGCTTCAATTGTGTTGAAATTGATGAATTAGTGAAAGTTAACGTAGATGAGATTGGCACCAATTCAATTCAAAAGTGTAAGCATCCACTTTCAATTTCTATCTAGGTCTTTTCGTTTTCATTTTTTTTTATTCTTAGCTATGACAACATGCAGAAATCGATGATTAGTCTTAGTCAAGTTAACATAGATGAGACTGACACTAATTCAACCCAAAATATAATCTTATTAAGTTGTGGACTCCTTCAAATTTCAATCTTTGGGATGAGATTCTTCTCTTAGTCCTCTGTCGGCCTCTATTTCACTCATCAATGTTTCTTAACGTTATTACAGTGACATATCTGGAGAACAACAGGGCAGGGATCACCATATTAGGCTTCACGGTGGACCGGGCTTGGCTTCACACCATATTTATTTATGCTGGAAATTACTTTGTTCCTGTGGTTTTTGGGCAAGACAATTGGGATCTCTTGAAGCCACCAGTCTCCATGATTCAGATCATTCTTTTTCTTTTTTTCTCTATCTGCGTATAGATTCTTGATTGCATTCTTCTAACAGTGTAGAGCATATCTTAGGTTTTCAAGTAGAACTACTCTCTTTAGTCGCTGCTCAATTTCTATCCTCCAAATTATCTTCTGTGTGTGCCACTCGAGGCTCCAAAAGTATCGTAAACTGAAGGTTTATACATGTGAATGTGTACCAGTTTACTACAATCTGCATCGTTCGTCGGCAGTCACAAAAGTTTTATGTTGCTTCTCTCAGGTCGTTGTCGGAATTGGTGTGTGAGATGGATACACAGGTTTGGGCTTCTGCTATGAGACGCACGGCATGGTTTTGTTGAGATGTTTTTGTACTTCCAACACCAGCAGCATTTAATCCTTAATCGTTTTGTTCTCTCTCTTCTCGAGTGCTCGAACGAACAATGCCAATGCAGATTGTACAAAGTTTATGTTGCTTCTCTCATAGTTAAGATTTGTAATAAGAAGAAGAAGAAGAAGAAAAAAGATATCGATCACAATCGAGGAACAGATGATTAACAATCTATTTGTAATATTTAATAGATTATTAATCCTAACCCATTTATGCCACGAGAAGCAATGGTTGGTAGGTCGGTGCATTGAAGAGGAGGGCGGCTGTTGCAGGGGCAAATTAGACCTCAGCGTGAAGTCATGTTTTCTTCTCTTTTTGTGCGCTCCATGCGGCAGTTCACACAGCCAATAAAGCAAAGCAGCGGCGGTTTGTGGCCGGCGCAGGCAAAATGATGACGACTGACAGTGATGGCGGGAGAGGGGAGGAGATGGCAACAGCGAAAGGGGGAGCGGCGAGGTTAAGCGTTGGGGGATGCGGCTTTACAGCTCGCGGGTGCAGTTGCTTTACTGGCAGCAGAGACGGTGGTGGGAAAGAAAAGTTTGCTTTCTCTGAGCTCCCAGGTGGTGTCCAAAAAGACTCGAGCCACAGAGAGAGAGAGAGAGAGAGAGAGCAATCCCCCACCGTCGTCTCTGCTATTGGTGGGAGTATTTTTATATATTCGAAATTAGATTATTTGGAGAATAAAAACAAATTAAATATGAAAATATTTAATTCTTCATATCTATAAGCAATCATATATATATTTCTTCATATAAAAAATTATTATGACACATATATATATTTTTCAGTAAAAAAAATACTACTCATTGAGCAACAGATAGATTCAAAGAGAACAAACAATTACAGGTAAAGAGATACTTTTAAGAAAGAAAGCTAAAAAGGTGAAGTTAACAGCGATGGCTACAAACAGTGCTGCCTTACTTGCTTCCCGGGTTTGTTTAAACTGTATGGCTTTCCTTCTCCTAACTTTCCTTCACTGTATGGCTTTCGAGGAACAACTCATCATCTATCAAATTGGAATCCACACGTTCATCGACCATTCTCATATCATTATGATGATGATGTGGTAACGACATTACATCTAGCATTAAACCCCATCCGAAAAGATGCATCAATTCCCCAACCAAGCATGAGTGTTAAGAGTTACACGGAGCAAACAAACCCATAATCCACATTGTTTTATGTAAGTCAGCAAACAAATTTACATATTATATATTTATAGAGAGAGAGAGAGAGAGAATCTAATAATAAACGCAACAAAATCTAGCAGAACAAATAGCACAAGGATACACCTAAAACTCCGCATCCATGGCATGCATGCTTCTTGTCGTCACTGTACCTAACCTCTATCCAATGGCTCATTATACTCTATTTGCAATAATAAAACACATACACACACATACCTTTTTTTTCCTTTGCTTCTCTCTTATTCTTCACCTTTCCATTCCCGCCATTAATAACCTGAAACCAAAATAACAATATGGATTCAATCCAATCCAAATCCACAAAATAAAAATCCTGCAAGTAATTAATTACCTTTGATGGCTAGATTTGGGGGGCCTAATCGTCAATGAGGCCACCCGATGGAGAACAACTGCTTGAGCCGACCGCCGGAGATCCGCTGCAACGCCTTCTTGGCCCCGGGGACGTCGGCCTCCACCAGCTTCTGCAAATGATGGCATGCCCCGGCCTCCCCGATCCGCTTCCGAGCGCCGCCACGGCCGGCCGTCATTGCGAGCACAACCGCCACCGGGAGCTGCTTCCCGACTGCATCGTTCCTCGGGTCCAGCATCTGCACCAACCTCGTCACGCTCTTTTCGTCCCTCGACAGCTCCCTCCGATTCGACGGCACCGCCAGCAACGACGTCAGAGCCCCCGCCGCCGCCTGCTGCGCGCTCCCCAGCTTCGAGCACTCCATCATCTTGACCAGCGCCGGTATCGACTCCGCTACGGATCGCTTGATGACTTCGCCTGGGGCGAGATCGGAGACCAGGGACGCCGCTGTCTGCTGGCTCGCGAGGCTCCCGCGCTTTATCAGATCCGTCAGTTGGGCGAAGAAAGATGGGGACGAAGAGAGGAGCTTGGCGGCGGCGGGAGAGGCGGAGAGGGCGCTGATCGCTCTCAGGGCGTGATCTATGGCCTCCGGGTCCGATGCGTCGCGGAGAAACTGGAGGAGACGGCGTAGGCCACCCTCTTGGAGGATGGCGGCGCGGATCTCGGAGCCGCCCATCACGGCGAGGGAGGCGAGGCAGAGGGCGGCATTCTTTTGGGCTTCGAGATTCCCGGAGACAAGAAGGTCGACGAGGACCGGAACGGCGCCGTCCTCCGCCATGGAGGCCCTACTGTCCTCGATGACAGCCACGTTCTTGAGGGATCCGGCGGCGAGGGCTTGCACGGCGGGCGAGCCGGATCCGGTGTGGCAGGCGGCGACGAGGATCGACACGCCGCCGTAGGCGGAGACGGCCCAGGCGCATGCGCGGTCGGCGGTCATGGCGTGGATCGCGGCAACGGCGCGCTCTTTCAGGGCGGCGGGTCCAGAGTCGAGGAGGCGGAGGAGGGGGCCGAGGGCGCCCTCCTCGAAGACGGCGTGGCGGGAAGCGTCGGAGGCGGTGGCGAGGTGGGAGATGGCGGCGACGGCGCGGTCGCGGAGGAGGGAGTGGGCGGAGGGGTCGAGGAGGCGGAGCAGGGAGGGCAGGTCGCCCTCGTCGACGACGAGGCGGGAGACCTTGGCAGGATCGGCGGCGAGGAGGTCCAGGAGGGAGTCGAGGGCCTTGTGCTTGAGGTCGAGCGTGCCGATCTGGAGGCGGGCAAAGACGTCGCGGACGAAGAGGGCAAGCTCGGCGCGGGAGGCGGAGGGGCCGGGGACCGGTAGGACGATGGCAGCCGCCGAATCGGGGTCGGAGTGGGAGGAGTCGTGGTGGAGGAGACCGGAACGGAGGAGGAGATTGAGGTCGTGGAGGTGGAGGGAGAGGGCCGAGGCGGCGATGTCGAGGTCGCTCTGAAGTCGGAGTTTGCCTCCGGGGAGAGAAGGATCGAGGCAGCGATCCGAGAGGGAGAGGAGGTCGCGGAGGGTGGAGCGGAGGGCGGGGAGGAGGTGGTCGCGGAAGAGCGGGTTGGAGGGCCAGTGGGGGGAGGCCGAGGAGTCGACGAGGGCGGAGAGGAGGAGTGAGAGCTTGGAGTGAAGCAAGCGCCACCGGCCGACGAGGGACCGTGCGGAGAGTGCGGCAGCGAGGAGGAAAGGGAGGAGGCGGTGGAGGATGAGGTCGAGGCTCTCGGCCGGCGACCTGGGAGACTCATCGCCATCATCTTCTGCTGCTGCTGCTGCGGCGGCGGCGGAGGACGTTAAGGAAGCGTGATCAGTCATAGGTGAGCTTTTTGGCTTCCTCCGACTCTCTCCTCCTTTTCTTCGATCTACCTTCGTTTATGGAAGGTGGAGGAGGTTGCGTTAGTTGCAAGAGTAAAGGGCGGAGATGAGATAGGGGCGTAGCTGGGCGGGCCGGACAGGGAACACGAAATCCGTTCCATCCGGTGATTGCCTTTCTTCACGGGGTCCATCGAGGACGCGAGCAAGATTTTCTGAATCCTGGTTGGAGCGTGACAGCTGCGTCGCACACCCACGGGAAAGGTTCGTGGTAGGTCCGACGCTATGGAAATGGACGGATGGGATTGCTTGCAAGGGAACACGAAGCGGGCCGCGATGGTGGACACAGGGAGGAGTCGAAGAAGCAGAGAGAGAGAGAGAGAGAGAGAGGGGAGTAAATGCTCAACTGATCGAGGCCCCGACGCATGTGAGTAACGGCCGGCGTGGCGGCGGGGACGGAAGATTTATTGGAATCCTACTTTGTTGCTTGTTGGGATCAGTCAGGAGGAGGATAAATGGTGCGGAATGGAATCCGACTAATTTGAATATTTTTTATATATTAAATATGAATTGGTCTTTAAAATTAATTTCTAAAAATAATCTATGCTTTTATATTCTTAACATTCGCCTCACTTATATTAGACTAAGAATGATTCTACAATTGGAATTCTTTGTTGATATATAATTGGGATCAATGATTTTATTTAGTTTCCATTCATTTGTTAAAGTGGAAAGTAAAAGAGAAAGAATACACATGTCCATTTTGATTTCAGCTTAATTTGTTTTTATTAATATCATTCCATTTAGGAGCTTAATCTTAGATGATATGTGATCTATATTTTTATACACTTGCTGTTGAATTGTATTTATTATCTATTAGGCTCTTAAGTTTTTACATTTTATGGTCACCTATTACCTAATTACCTAAGATATTATCGGAATAGGTCACGAGTTTGAATCTAAATCGGTATAAGAACAAGGATTTTAAGTTTGTGATTTAAATATTTTGTTTTCTTTTTTATTTTAGGATTTTATCTTCGTGAGTAAATGCATTGTAGGGGAGAGGGTTAGGCGTCCATAAGCTTCGTCTAGTGGTTTAATTAATCGAGTCAATGATGGAAAGCTACGAGTTGTCTTCCACTGCAACTTTCTTCTCACTTGCAGTTGCAGGACGACGGTGGTAGGGAAAGAGCCGCGTCGCATGCCGTCCTCCTTTTCGGGTCACTTTCTCGTAAAACGTTTGTTGATGGGAATGCAGCGAAAGCAAAAGCATTGACCGAGGCGAAGCGAAGCGACGTAACGTGTCGTCCGCAGTCCTCCTCTCCTCCCTCCCTTCGCTCTCGGGGTGCTGTCTACCCAGCACAGTTGGGATCATATTTCATCCTCCGACCTGCTGTTCTAAATTTGGGGGTCCTGTCTTTTCAATATATATTTTGCGGATTGGAATTTTGGGCTTTAGGCTTTAGGGTTTCAACATATGTTGGATTTACAATTAAAACGAACTGAAAAGGATAGAAAGGATGTCAATTTTTATAATGTTAGAATGGTATGATCAAACCAAAGATTCTCTGCTTTCGGTGATGAGTGTTAGAATTGCATAATGCTAAATTGACGAGTCAACATTCTTAACATTTGAATGACCATAAAAAATATTTTCTTGCCACTAAATTCAAATTTAGTAAGGACATATGTTTGAGCTATCGTGAAACACAATTCCCACCATGACATTTGAATCAATCATGCTGCAATGGTGTCCACCAAACAGACTCGATTTATTATAATACATTTGTCGTGGCTTTGTATCTTATGTGTCAAGTCTTGATTTGGGTAATCACGTTAGTGAGATGACAAAGACAGACCCACATTATAGTGACTTCCATACATCACAAACTTACTACTCGAATCATATATATATATCCCATCCGATTACAAGGCGATGTCAACAGGTCGCAGTGATATCTGGACGAAATCATAGACTACCGCAAGCGATCTCACAAAAAAGAAACCCCAACCGCTTGCAATTCGAACACGAAGACCTAAAATGGCAACAGAAACAACTGCCCACCATGACAATCAGAAGACATAAAGCAATAGAGGTCGAAAAGCATCCGACATCGGATGGTCCTATCTGGAATAAGGTTCCTCTAAACCACTCTCGAGCATGGAGTTATTTATTATTCTCGCATATTTTCCAAGAAGGAAATGCTGGCCTTCCTAACTAAAAAATGGAGCAGATGAAATTTTCATGCAAGCTACGTCGAATCGCTCTATGAATCTTTGATCAGAAACCCTTGCCTTTGCAGCAGCAAAGCGATGGTACTCGTCGAAAATGGAAGTGAGGCACCAATGCTGAAGCTTTCTTAGGCAGCCTACGATGCAACCGGTTCGGTGCTGGATAGGTGGATCGAAGACGAGAGAGAGAGTCAGACTTCCACACATCGAGCAGATGATAATGGTGGAGAAGGAATTGGGTTTTACCTTTCCTCGTTTGCAATGAATGAGGAGCGGGTGGTTTCGGACATCTGCAATTCAAATTAGAGTCCACAGAAGCATGTAAAACTGAGTGAGTTTCACCTAAAGGGGGATGGGAAAAATTAAAGCAAGTTTAATTTATGAATGTTTCCTACCAAGAACAACCTCGAGGGCCTCGCAAATTGTCTCTTCTGGAATGTCGACAAACGGTTCCTGCATAGCAAGTTGCAATTACAGTGATTAATAGAATTGATGTAACAAGGTATGCTAATGTCAAACTAGCCAAAACAGTCATAATCACCCATCTTTGGTTGATACAAAGTTGATGAACTATTTTTGTATTTGTTGGAAGTAATATGGAATTTACGCAAGTTCTTTTCCGGTAGTTCTTTGAGATGGCAACTCAGAACCCAAAATTGCACATATGACTCATTAACTGCAAATGGACATAAGAAAAAAACAAAACAAAACAAAAGATGGCAGCAGAATAGAAGCACCTATATATTAAACATATCAGTCTCCTATATCCCAAATCCCTGGAATGTATATCATGCAGCAGAACTCTAATGTCGACATAAGCATGACAGCAACACAAAAACAAAAAGAGATAAAGAGCAAAGAATTTAGGGCAGCCAAAAAATGCTAAGAAGATGCGAACAAAAAGAGAAAAAAATATATATATAAAATGTGAATAGCTTAGAGATCATGAAGCTTTATATATATACTGCCATTGTAAGCTTGGTATAAGCGTATCTTTGATATACTACACTGGTGTGTGCCAATCAGAACAAGTCCACACAGCCAACATGGCATTCCATGTTTGATATCATATATTTCTTTAAACTGGAAGGCTGCCCAAAGTTTAGAGCTCTTAACTCTCGTGCATACTAGAAATGTATTCGTATTTCAACCCATGGCACATCCATTCCTCAGACTGCAGCCTAATGCCTGTATCTTTGGCAGTTGCAAGTGCGAGGTGTAACTGTAAATGTCTGCAATTACCACTTGTAGGCAAAACCAGCAGTTGAAAGTGCAGTGTTTGGATTTTTGCATGTATAGTTGTTACTTACAGTTGCAACTAAGGCAGAGGAAATGGTAACTAGTGTTTGTAAATGGAGACAAACAGTCACGCGAGTCACAATAGAAGCAAGGGGAACAACTTATGAGGAGACAAAAAGTGTGAGATGATGGAAAGGAGGGTATTTGAACATAATTTTGGCTTACAACCCAAACTGCAAGTACAATCAATATGTGGCATTTCAAACTGCAAGTTCACTTGCAGTATGTATAGATTAATTACATGAGCACATGTCACGAGTGGCCTACTTATAGACAACCAAAACACCTGCAAGTGAGCTACTTACTGCATAGGACTTGCAGGCAGTACATCTGTGGGCAATCAAATTGCCCCCGACACACCTCAAAGATGAATATTTATGAAAAATTTTCAAAACTTTCTTCATTTTTTCTGAATGAGGATGGAATTACAATGCTTAAAAGAACATGGTCCTCATGCCCAAAACCTCATATGTTATGGAATGAATATACAGGATATATATATATAGCATAAGATGAAAGGAACTATCATGGTTGTCTTGTCCCAATGAAGTCTGTTAATTATCATAAGGCATATAATTTCCCTCACAAACTTAGAGAAGATTAGCCTATACAAATTCAAGGAGCAAAAAGAAAAGGGGGCATGTAACCAATCAAAAACATTATTCAAAATTTCAAATAGCTAAAGGCTTTTCCATTTCATCAGTGTAAATTGTGCAAGGCAATTTTCTCTCTTTCCTAGTTTGTTTGGCATATACGGAGGTGGATGAATCTATATTTCAGAGACTTTTCTGGTAGGTTTTCCTTGTGTGTATATTTTTGACTCCCCATCTGATCCATCTAAATGTCTCGATCCAATATCATACTTGTGTTGCTGTTTTCTTCTTTGTATGTTGAAAAATGACAGTGACTTTAGGTAGTTAGTTACGTCCCCCACAAGCAGATCTAGAATCAAGGTAATCCATCTGACCAAAGTTTGACAAGAAAGTGCCCTGGGTGAAGAATCAATTAATTTCAATATCAAACAGCGACATCAAGAAAACTAGAGAATGCAGAGTTTAAGCCGTAAGGAGGCAAAATCAAAAGGGAATATACAGAATCATAAAAGATATACTAAGGGATCATATGATACTATCCGAGATCTCGGCTGAAGCATGAACTCTTTATTGACCATGACCTTCTTTTATATATTTATTTATTTATTTAAAAGGATTTGTAAACAGAGAGAAACGCTAATGAAAACTTCCAATAGGCACAAAGAGCTTGGCCTAGAAACCAGTGATTACCCTAATCAAACAGTCGATAAAATTGAGATGGGAAAGGAACAATAGTTTTGTTGTGGTACCTTACAACCGTCGATCCCGAACTGGAACAGCTTGATCCCGTTCTCCCGAAGGAACTCCATGTTCTCCTCCGGGTAGGGCTCAGGGCAAAGACACCTAACAAGAACCCCGGTCCATCAAACCCCTCAATCCCCCACCATAATCGCCACAAACGGGGTAAACTCAAACCGAACAGAGAGAGAGAGAGGAACCTACAAGACGGAACGGAGCCTGAGCGTCGTCAAGAAGCAGAAGTTGGCGGCGTCCGGGAAACCGGAGCGGTAGAGGCCGCAGCCGACCATGGCGAAGTTGGGCGGCGGGACGACCGCGCCGGGGGGCTGCAAGACGAACGCCGCTATCGCGATCGACGCCTCCTCTCCCATTCAAAACGTAGACAGGATGTTCGTCGAAATGCACAACTCAATTGTGGTGAACGATGGGAGGAATTCAAAGACGAGTAAGACTCTTTTATAAAGCGGGGAGGGATGACGATAACTAACTAAACTGACTCTCTTTCTTTTCCTCTATTAAAGAGACTATTGTCGAGTTCAAATTGTTCAAAATGAGAGAGAGAGAGAGAGAGAGAGAGGTAAGAGTTTGTTTAGGATGTGGTAGCACAACTCCTTTCTCGACTGATAGATTAGAATAGATTAGCTGCTAGAGAAAGGAATCATCTCAATACGATATCATTCAAGACTACGTACGTGTGTCGGAGAAGTTGACCAGGAAACAAAAGTCTTCCTCTTTCACGAGAAGGGTATGGCGTCATGGATTACGGCATTCCTCACGTGGAATCAAATCCATAATTAATGCATTAGTTCGGATAGAATTCATTAAGATAAAAAGTGAAACCAATCTGAAAGAGTTTTACAACAAATTGAAGGTCAAATTTTTGATGAGCACGTCAACTACGTCTTCTAAGAGTACAATCTCTACCTATCATTATAACTGATATCGTCATTGGTCTTTGAGTGAGCACAGCAACACCACTTGGTTCAGAATTAATTTAAATTTGATATCATTTCAGAAACGTTCGATGTTGTTCTGATCTCAAAATACTATTGATGTTATGAAGGGTTCTAAAAATCATCCTTTCGATGCTCAAATTATATCTCTCGAGTAAATAGAGAGAGAGAGAGAGAGTATCCAACCTAGATAGCTACACTTGAGATTTATTGCTGGTCCTCTCGTTAATTATAGGTCATGAAATATTTCAATTAGTTCTTTATACAATAATAAAGTTTTGGGGGAATGTATTACCTAAAGTCGCAAGGACATAATTCACTTATTCATCTCATATTGTTTTGAATGCTTGTATTTTTTTTTTAATTATGAGTATTTATTTTTGAACTGTCCTTGCTTCTCTAATTGCATCATTCTTAATCTTACTTAGTCTTACATTCTCTTCTTGTTTGATTTTTTTTATTTTTTATTTATAAACTTTTTATATCTTTTTTTAATCAACATCATTCGAGCTTTCGCTTGAATAATTATTTTTTATTTAGTAGGTTATCTTCTTTTTCATCATGAGTTTTGCATATAATTTTATAGGTCATTAAAGATGAGCTCTTTAGGAGGAAGCTTATTCAAATTTTTAGCTTATTGGATCATTATTACCTTTGGATCCTAGTTCTTAGAAATGGATCTTAAACTCTTGATCACTAGTTCAATGTTAGTGTGACTTTTGTCAAATGATTTTAATTCATTGATAACATTGTAGGTGTGCATGTCACCGATAGATTCATTTATTTTTATTTTAAATAATTTATAATTAGGAATCAAAAGATTAATTTTGGATTCTTTTATTCGTACTTTTATGAGTGACCTTACGTGTATATCATATATCATGTGCAATATCATAAGTAAAAAATTCAATTGAACTTATTTTTATCTAAAGTATAAAATAAAGTTTTAATATATATAAAAATAATATTTTTTTTAATATTATTTTATTCATCCATCAGTTTAGAAGATTTTTAAAAATTAAATTCGATAATATCTCATAAATCAACATCCATAATAAATAAAAAATTTCTTATTCGTGTTTTTCGATAAGTATAATCGTCGCATTAAACATGAAAGAACGTGTGTTATAGTATCTCCTCTATATTGCTTAAAAATATAATTAAATCTCTCTTATATGTTAATCCAAATGAGATAATTTTGCTTAGATACTAATTATTATGATCTTAATAACATTAAGAGAAAGGAGGTAGAAATTAATGCTATATAATATTTTAACCAACCTTAAAATTTGATTAAAAAAAATATGTAAATTAAATATTGAATGTGAGTAGGAGTTACAAGTAAAGTAAATGATAATAAGTAAGAAATCATGATTAAAAATCAAAAGCTAGAGTAAATCCATTTATAGTAGTTCAATTTTTCTAATATATTCCTTTTTTTCTCAAGATTGGCTTTTACTATCCATCTTGCTTGCTTCCATCAAGTAAAGATTAATAACCCCTTTCTCTTTTTTTAGACTTACTAGAGAATTATAAAACTTCATAAGAGACCTCTATCTCATATAACATAATATCATAACTAAACTCAACATAGAAAATAAAAAATAAAAAATATTTAAAGAGAGAACTATGATACTCTAAATAATTATGAGACCTATATGGTGAGAGAATCGTATCCATTTATCCTCGTTTTATAGAGGATGAGGTGTTCGAAGGATATATAAATATATATATTTTTAACTAAGATAGTGATAGGGCATATTATGGATTCTGTCACATGGACACGCCCTCCTACCACTCCAGCCCAAGCGTAGAACCTCGAGAGGAAGATGCGATGCCACGTCGAATGTACCACTAGGAATTCGAGATGACAATCGCTCTCCTCCTATGTCGTTTGGGGCCATACGAACTAGCGTCGCCCCGACAAGGACCGCACCGGAAAGCTCGGAATAGTGCCGTTCCACACATCTAGGCGGCGGACATCCGAAGGTACGAGCTCATCACTCAGGGAGTCGGCCACTGCGCGAAAGTCGCGTACGATCGACCCTAAAGCACTACGATAAAATCCCATTGCTAATTTCTAGCAAGGGGGAAGATCTTGGACAAAGAGAATTCTACTAATTTAATCTTTGGAGGGACATAAGTCGAGATTCCTCTCCCCATCCCGACCTAGGCCAGTGTGTAGGAAGCCGACGTCGACAAAGGCGGATGAGCTCACTAAAGAGGTGCATCCCAACCGATCCTGAGCTTAACCCGATCAGACGAAGACCTCATCCTCGGGACAATCATAGACATCACCAATTGAACCAAGCCATACAAACTCCTCGGCCACGGCATAAGGTTCACCAACAAATAAAATGAAATATTGTAGAGCAAGGTTCTCTTTCTTGATTTCAATCATATCTAATTTATTTTCTAACCTCATCACCTAGTTATCTAATCATCACAAATTATGAACGTAGATGGTTCAATAAAAGAATACTAGTGAGATATGGTTCCATCCAAAGTTCATTTGAGAATGAACATCTAAGAATATTTTGAGACCCAACTTTCAAGGATTGAAGTTATTAGAATATTTCCAAATGTATCGACACAATAATATAAGAAGTGGAGGATGAAATTACTAATAGTGTCCTCGAGAATGCCAAGTCTTTTAAGCCCAAGTCCTCCTCAATTATGATATTTTTACTCTTTTATGAAGCCTAATTGAAAAGGTGAGATCCTTTACTCTCATTGTTTTATTTTTTTCAAAAGAAAATTCTAAAAATCCTAATCAATCTAGATATATATAATATTATGAGAAAGTGGAGAGGTATAACATTAATCGAACATTAATGGAACGTTAATGAGAAGAAACTTTCCAATCTAGAAAATAATATTTTCTTCCATCTATTAATTCCACACATGATTTTTTCAACCAGTGCCATGGCAAGAATAATATTTTCTTCCATCTATTAATTCCACACATGATTTTTTCAACCAGTGCCATTGCAGGAGAATGATAACTTTCATGTGAGATATAGGTGTATAAGTATTTCATGAGCTATTAACCTTCGAGCCATGTTGAAAAAGAGAAAAGATTTTATGTTTCGTAAATGATTTACGATTCTTATGTTTTTCATATAAGAGTTATGCAACTACTTAAATGAAATCAATGGCTAATACTACTACTATTTATCAAGCATTATTCCAACATAAAAATTTACTCCAACATTTAAACACTATTATCAACAGATTGTCACGGACTTAACTGGTTTTGCCTAAGTCACGCGACACTCTTGCGTGTCCGTCCGCAAAGGTCAACCTCCCCGAAGCCTCCCATGGTCCCTTAGGACCCACAAAAGAGAAAACGGGTTAGAGAGAATGTCTCACTTAGGATCCACAAGCAAACATTCAAAGAAACACTTCATAGACAATGCAAATTACAAACAGACTTTACAAGCTCTGAACAGTTATACAACAAAGGGTAAAATGATCCACTAAAGATCGAAAATCTCTCTCAAGTGTCCACATGACATAATCTTTATTTACAAACCTAAAGCGGCCACCAACCTAACTAAAATGTGACTCTTAAGCCTTCGGTCATCCCTCTACATGTTGTACAAAGCATGAACATACCAAAAGACACGGACATACATAAGCATTACATCAAACATCCTGTTTAGAAGTTTGTCTGTGATATTCTCCCCCACTTATTCCTTCGACGTCCTCGTCGAGGCCTTTGTCGACACTGCAACTCCTCGCCTTTGCTGAGTCTTTAATCTTCCGCTTCAGCTGCAATGCGCCTCTTGGCTCCCAACTGCTCTCCGTTGCTATTTTTGAGTAGTCGAAGCTTTGATCCGCCATGCTGCTTCAACTCGCCAATGACTCTGACTCTAGTGTGAGGTTGGCTGAGTTATGTTGATCCTTGTTGGTTCCTATGGATCCTCCAGATAAAGGAAAAGATCATCCTTACTATGCGCCAGTCTCTCAAATGCTCATGCTGCTTGAACTGGGTGGATGCTTGTTGGAGCTTTAACGAACATCGTCTCGCAAACTTCTGAAGTTTTTGGGTCATTCCTCCATAAAATTTGTCCATGGACTCTTCTTTCACTTAGTTGTCACTTCCAAGTAGGTCTGCATCACTTCCGCTTTCGATTGATAATTCGTTGGGAAATGAAGCGGACAATCTACTCTCGGTAGCACTGATCACTGTTGGTGAGGATTTGACAACTATTGTCTTCCATTATCTTCGAAGGGTCTTTGAACATGTGCAGAGCTCCTCTGTTGGATAGATAAGAGAATTGAGGTACTTGGTTTCGCCCATTCTCTTAAGAGTTGAGAAGGCAAAGGTTACTTGACTTCGCTCGCCTCCTCGAGGTTGTACTCCATACATCAAGCTGGTTACTGGCCTTCGCCTACTCTTTGCTCACACTTCT